CCTCACTTAGTGACAGCTGTTCTATCTCCAACACCTGGGTGTAAATTGAGGACTACCTATACTAGGTGGAAAGGGGCTACCAGACTCCTGATAACACATGGGGGGGGGTCTTCATTTGTTTTAAATCAGGGATTTGGTGGCCTTTAAGACTTGGGACTTCAACTCCCAGAATTCCCCAGCCAGCGTTGGGGAATTCTGGAAGTTGAAGTCTGCTACTTAAACTTGCCAAGTTTGGAGATTTCTGTTTTAAATTTAAAAAGAAAATAATATTCAATAATAAGATAAAATAACCTTTATTGTCAATTTTTTTACTGTGGGCACGACACAGATCAAAAATGAAATTTAGTTGCCCGCTCTCAAAGTGAAACACATACATGACACACACCTAAACATACTATGTACAACATATGTATAGACCAGGGGTAGTCAACCTTTGTCTCTTTTATGACTCGTGGACTTCAACTCCCAGAATTCCTGAGCCAGCACAGCTGGCTCAGGAATTCTGGGAGCTGAAGTCCACGAGTCCATAAAAGAGCCAAGGTTGACTACCCCTGGTATAGACCCATACTACTACATATACATAACAAATAAATATTAAATACTGTTCATCTTGAATATATAACGGAAGGAGGAAGCTTGAGAGTTCACAAGGTTAATGCTGTATTTAAAGAATATTTAATTATTGTTAATTTTAAGTCTTTCAAGTTTCCTTTCTGCTACCTATTCAAAATGGACAGTGATTAGTATTTATATGTATGTGTATGTATGGATATAGGTATATATATATGTGTGTGTATGTATATATATAGCATGCGTATATATGTATATATGTGTGTGTTATGTATGTTTCTGGGTAGATATATGCCACAGAATTCCATTTTTAATGTGGGCCAGTGTGCCCACAGTAAAAAAATGGCAATAAAGGTTATCTATCTTAATTCTCTTCTTGATTTTATATTTGTTTTTATACCACTGTAATCCAGCCAAAGTGACTCAAGAGAGTGAGATGGGTGACGTATAAATTCAATGAATGAATGAATGAATGGCCAAGAACAGCACCTCTATTTCCCAGAATGCCTCTGTAACCTACCTGGGTCTCAAGGGCATCCTGGGAAAACAAAGATGGCGGACGCCTCCAATCACAGGGATAACTGCATCCTGGAGTTGGTGGGGGACGGGGGGGGGGGGCAGGGCAGGAAGAAGAAGCCAGCCCATCTCTTGCCGGCCTCGGCAGAATCCCGGCAGGTCCGGCTGGCCGTGGTGCAGACTGACCGTGGAGGGGTCACTCGGGACCCCCAAGAGAGCTGCACTCCCACGGGAAGGGGGGGTCTTGGATCGTGGCCCTGGGGGGGAGATCAGAAAGCCAGCGGGGCGCAGAGCCACTCACCCAAGGAGATGGAGTTGAAGCCCAGGGCGAAGGGCGGGGTGTCTCCCAGCTGCACAGACAGGCTGACGTTGGAGACGGAAGCGCTGAGGATGATGGTGGCCAGGATCTGCGGCATCCTGAGGGGGGAACAGGATGGGGGGGGAGTCAGTAGGAAACAGCGTTAAATGTGTACATCCCAGTCAGTGGGGGGGGGGGCTTTGGCCCCAAAGGGGATCCTGGCTTGGAGGACATGGACACCTTCTTGGCTACCATGCCTAACAAGGCAGAAAGCATCAAAACCCCCCCCTCCTGTCCCCCCCATTCTGCCTGGGGATCCTGAGGAGGCCTTGACCCAGAATCCAGAGGCTGCAAATGGCCGGAGGGGCCAAACTGAATCCTGGCAAGGAGGAGGCCCGACTCTGAAGCCGGGGTCTCCAACCGTGGCTGCTTTAAGACTCGTGGACCTCAACTCCCAGAATCTCTTTAAGACTTCTGGAATTCAACTCCCAGAATTCCCCAGCCAGCACAGCCGTGACCGCTTTAAGACTCGTGGACCTCAACTCCCAGAATCCCTCAGCCAGTCTCCAACCATGGCCACTTTAAGACTCGTGGACTTCAACTCCCAGAATCCCTCAGCCTGTCTCCAACCGTGGCCACTTTAAGACTTGTGGACTTCAACTCCCAGAATCCCATGGCCACTTTAAGACTCGTGGACCTCAACTCCCAGAATCCCTCAGCCAGTCTGCAAC